CAGGCAGGGCTGAGGCTGGGGGTCTGAGATCCAGGCAGGGCTGAGGCTGGGAGTCTGAGATTCAAGCAGGGCTGAGGCTGGGGGTCTGAGGTCCAGGCAGACCTGAGGCTGGGAGTCCGAGATCCAGGCAGGGTTGAGGCTGTGAGTCAGGTCCAGGCAGGGCCAAGGATGGGAGTCTGAGATCCAGGCAGGGCTGAGGCTGGGGGTCTGAGATCCAGGCAGGGTCGAGGCTGGTTGCTCCCGAGGCCCCTCTCTTTGCTTACCTGTGTCCTGTTCCCCTTTTCTTACAAGGACAACAGTCTTATGGGCTCAGGGTCCACCATACTATCTCATTTCACCTTAATCCACTCTGTACAAACCCCACCTCCAAATATCGTCGCATGCTGCCATCCTGGGGTTGGGGCTGCATTATATGGAGCCCACAGTTGAGCCCATAACACACTCAAACATACAGAAGTTCAACCACCATGGAAAGCAGCCCCAGGGATGTCCTCTGGATAAGAGGCAGGGGTCCCCACACTGCTGAGACAGAAGGACCACCTGGGAAACCAGAAAAGCATCCAGGGTGGGGCTCAGTCACACAACAGGCGGTTCGGCTGGGGACTCTGCACTTTGACCCCGTCCCCCAGCAATGCTGATGCCCACCGCCCACCAGACTTTGCCAACCAGCCACCCGAGTGTCAGCATTCTGTCCAGATCACAGTTTCTTGCAACCCACAAGGAATAAACAACATATACACAATTGGCATCTCAGACCGTGGAAGTGGAAAGATGCAAATATCCCGGATGGGCCTTTCTTCTGTGTCAACGTGCCTGGGCTACGGTGCCTGGACGTTGGGTCAAACACTAGTCTCGATGCCACCAGGAAGGTGCTCTGTCGATGGGATTCACATCTACAATCTCCCGCGGGAGAAGCGCACCACCCTTGGTAACGTGGGTGGGCCGCCTCTGATCAGTTGAAGGCGAGGTTTCCCAGAGAAGATGGGATTCGGAGACACCACGGCAGGGCTTCTACCCTTCCCTATGGATTTAGGGCTTGCCAGCCCCAGCATGTTGTGGGGCAGTTCCTTAAAATGAATCTGAATGTATACATTGATGATGATGATGAGGACAGATGGACAGATGGCTAGAGATGAGAAATATAATAGATAGGTAGACAGATAGATAGAGATGATGGATGGATGGACAGATGGATAGACAGGTAGACAGATTGGCTAAATGATAGGTGATGGACGGATGGATAAACAGATTGCAGATGAAAAGATGCACAGATAATAAATGGATGGTTAGATAGATATAGATAGATGACAGATGGGTAGGTAAGGAGGTAGGATTGATAGATGATAAATAGATAGATAGATAGATTGACGGATGGATAGATGATAGATGATGGATGGACGGCTGGGCAGATTGTAGATGGAAAGATACATAGATACTATTCTGTGTGTCCCCTGCAGTCAATGTCGCCCCCCGCTGAGAATGGCCAGCTGTGGCGTGTCTAGGTAGGGGATGTGACCTGTGGGCCGGCCATGCTGGGTGACGATGCGTCTCTGAATGGGGACCCCCCAGAGCAGCCGCCCCCTTGTGCCACGGATCCATGGGGCTCCACCCAAGGGTATACCAGATGGCCCGGTGCTGACTCAGGGCAGCAGGGCCCGAGCCCCACCCACTCACCAAATGAGCACCTCCAGGGGCGGGCACTGGCCTGGTGCCTTTCATCCGGGTGCATTCCCTCCCGGGTCACTCGCACACCAAGCATTGAGACCCACCCCCCTGCACAGCCCGGCCGGTTCGGCCCCCCCGACGGGCGCGGTGACCGCAGCCGGCCTAAATAAATGACCCACTTCCGGCTGGACCCGCACACCCACAGATTGGCTAGATCAGAGGTACGTTGGGGGCCACGGCGAAAGACGCGCAGACACCAGACAGACTCTGGATGGCTTCTGGGGTGTGGCCCAGCGTGGCCCGGCCTGCCTCTTTGGCCCACGCCATGGTTTCCAGAAGCAAAGAGAAAATGCAGGGTGCACCCGCACGCAGCCCGTGACACGGTCCGAGTGAGAGTCGGTGTCTCTTTACGCGGGAGAAGTAGGGATCTATATACCGGAAGGTGACAGACCACAGCCGTCGGGAGAACGGAAGCACATCGGGGACGTAGGCGTAGGTTTCCTTTTCGCTCAACAGACCCAAACCGCCGAGCCGACCTTGGCAAGCTTCCTTTCTGCTTCTGCTTCGGACGAGCGCCGACGCACTGATCACCCGGGGGCTCCCCCTCCGTGCCTCATCCCCCTTCCCCCTCCGTGCCTCAGTGCACCCATCTGCAACACGGCGGTAGGAATGGGCACCATCATCGGGCTGCGCGAGAGTCTGCTAGGAATAAAGTCGCGAACGTGCTTCTCCGAGGGGGGCTGTGGGTGCAGCTAGGCTTCTCTGTGCTGAACCTGCAGCTCCCAAAATCACTTGTGCCCGGTCCCGCTGATACCGGAAGGGTCTCGCCCAGCGTCCCGGGCTGGGCGCCCTGGCGTCTCCCTCCACATCACGTCGGCCCCCAGACAACCGAGTCCTGGTCCCCGAACACAGCTTGACCAGGATACACGGGCTGCCCCAGAACAGGGACACCTGAGTCACCGCTGCAAACCCACGGCATTCCCCAGACCTATGTCCCACCCAGACTTGCCTCCTGGGAATGCGAATATTTACATGACCGAGGGGGCTCTTTCACTCCCCCGACTCCTGCGCGTTCAAGACAGTCCCCTACAGTCCCCAGCCCAGCCCCACCCCGACGCCCGGGCATCTGGGACACGGAACGTTGGGCGTACACAACTCACATGACTTTCGTGCACAGCAAGAAAGGATGGCGTTTATCCAAAAGCTGCAGAACACGAACACAGCGTTTTCCACAAACAAAACCAAGCCCTGGAAACGCCATGCCCCCACCAACCAGCCGTTTTTTCCAACTCTGTGTTTTACCCCAAGGCGAACGGTCAGAACAAATGCTTTGCATCAGGAACAAGGCATTTGCCGCAGGCATCCCACGCCTTCCAGCTGGAATCATCCGGCAAAACAGGGCTGAGTTTGAAATGTGACCCAGAACCAGGCAGAGAACCCCGTCAGCCCGGGGCTCCGAACCGGCCCTCTGTCCCGTGTGCCTTCTCCAAGACCTCGCTCCCGTGCGTTCCCTTCCAGCCCGGCAACTTAAAGCCACTTACTCCCTACAAGCTCCTGGGGAAGGAGATTTGGAAACCAAGCTGACCTCCATCCAGCCCGGCGCCCACCCGGCTCTCCCTCGGGGCAAACCGGGTCTCACCTTGGACGCACAGCACAAAGCCCAGCACCGCGACCCAGAACAGTCCCCAGCGCCTCTCCATGGCTGTCGCCAGTCGGAAGGAGCCCCCGTGGAGGCCGCAGCCCGGAGGCTTGTGAGATCCGGCCTCCCGGACCGCACCCCACCCTCGATGTGTCGACTTCCTGTCTCCCAGCTTGGAAGGCACAGAGGCGATGTTTCAAGCGGAAAGTATGAACCCAACGGCAGTCCCGCGGCCAGAAGCTAATGGGCCGCGCGAGCTCAGACGCCGAACCCCGCAGCCCGGAGCCCGTGTGCAGCCCGGAGCCCAGAGCCCGTGTGCAGCCCGGAGCCCGTGAGACCAGCAAGGGCTCGCACGCCTAGGACACACCCGGAGCCAGCCTCCCGCCCTCCGTCAGGGCTGGAAACGGGCATCGCCAGGCCTGGGAGGTTCAGCTACATCAAAGGCCCGCACCCCGGGCACTGGGAGGACGCTCCCTACACAGGGACGGATGGATTCCAGGCTTTCTGCTTCCGGGGAGGGGGAGGGGGAGAGGGAGGGGAGGGGGAGGGGGCGGAGGGGGGCATCACAGGAGCTCCCGCATTCGTTCCACAAATACCGTGTGCACGCACACGGGTTCTGAGCCGGGCACCCGTGCGCTGCCAGGTGCTGGATGAGGATAACAGGGCGGAAGGGACACAGGAAGTGGAACCAGAGGAGGGCGGTGTGACAGTGCAGGCCACGGGGACACCCACCGGGCTGCTAGGGGCGCGGGCAGGGTCTGAACGCAGAGGGGCATCCCAAGAGGCTTCGCAAGGGGGCGGCAGGCTGCAAATGACCTCTCTCCGCGGGGAGAGAGGCCTCGGGAGAACCCAGCCTGTGCCTGGATCTCAGGCTTCAAAGCACCTCTCCGGGCCCAGAAGCCGACTCTCCTGATGGGTCCTACTTTTTGTTTTGTTTTGTTTTTTATTTTCCTGTGATTGTTTTTTCCTATTTTCCCAGAGTCGATGCCGTGTTTCCCCTGAGGCTGTATGATTCTTCTGTGTCGCTTGGCCACACCACCCTGCAGGCCGCCCGTCTCAGCGGGAACAAAAGTTACCATTTCCCAAACGCTCTGAACCCGTCTCCTAAATGGCGTGAGTGCACGGGAAAAGAAACTAATCATCATCATCATCATCATCATCATCATCAAGCCTGGTTGTGAAAGCTGTTTGTAAATGGCGGCCCCCCCCCCCCCGCCAAAAAAAAAACTGAATTTGGGCCAAACACATGGAAAAGGGGAAATGAACCTCGATGTATTTTGCATTTTTTTTTCCTGGCATCTAGCAATGTGTGCATGTGTCGGGAACGTGTTTTCTGTGTCCGCGGAACATCCTTATAAAACAGATGCGTTTGGGGGTGCACACAGGTGTGTGTGTGAGCTAGAGACGGAGGGGAACAGAGACAGAGACAGAGACAGAGACAGAGAGATGCTTTAAGGAAACCTCCGAGTCCCCAGTCATTGGCGTGGAGCCTGGAGCCTGTTTCCGATTCTGTGTCTCCCTCTCTCTCTGCCCCTCCCCCGTTCATGCTCTGTCTCTCTCTGTCCCAAAAATAAATAAACGTTAAAAAAAAAAAAATTTTTTTTTTAAAAAAGTGTATAATCAGGGGCGCCTGGTCGGTTAAGCGTCCGACTTGGGCTCAGGTCATGATCTCGATCGAGGTCTGTGAGTTCGAGCCCCGCGTCAGGCTCTGTGCTGACAGCTCAGAGCCTGGAGCCTGCTTTGGATTCTGTGTTTCCCTCTCTCTCTGCCCGTCCCTGCTCACACACACTCTCTCTCTCTCAAAAATAAACATTAAAATAAAATAAAATTAAATTAAATTAAATTAAATTAAACAAAATAAAATAAAATAATAAAACTACGTTCAGTGACAGAAGCCAGACTCCAGGCAAATCCATAGGCAGAAAGGAGATCGGTGGTTTCTGGGGGTTTATGGGAAGTGTGCACAGGTGAATTGTGGTTCCCCCCAAAGCACCACCCCCAAATCATCTCCTGGAGTCGTAACTTGTAACTCTGCAGAGTGTGACCATCTTTGCAAATAGGCTTGGTGCCTACGTAATCAGGTGTCTTCATGTGAGGTCACCCTGGGCCCAGCTGAGACAAGACCCCCATATGCCCGGTGGTCCCTATAAAAAGGGAGAAATTCGCACACAGACAGGCACACAGGGAGAAGGCCGTGTAGACACAGAGGCAGAGGCGGGACATGCCAAGGGACGCCCAGGATCGCCCGCAGCCCCCAGAAGCTGGGACACACACACAGAACGGCCTGTCCCCTGGAGCCTCCGGGAGGAACCACCCTCTGCCCCGCCTGGATCTCGGACTTCTGGTCTCCAGCACCGAGAGACAACACGCTCCTGTGGTTTAAGCCGCCTCGTCTGTGGGGATGTGTTACGGCCGCCCCAGGAAACCCGTACATGATGGTTTCCTTTGGGGGTGACAAAAATATCTTGGGAGCAGACAGAGGCATCTGCAGTCCGAGTATCATGAGCACAGTGCATGCAAGGCAGGCCCGAGCGTCTTTGCTTCCGTCGTGGGTCCTTCGCGGGAGATGACCTCCCAGCACGACCCCATCTCAACCCAGTGAGTGTGGTTAAGGGGGGTCACTGGAGCCTCTCTGCAAGCCGCTGCAGAAACCCCTCGATTTGGCCACTATGGGGGGGAGGGGAGGCAGCCACCGGCAGGAAAACGGGAGGCGTGTGCACCCGTCCAATGTTACTTACGGACCCTAAAACTCCAGTGTGGCAGAATTCTCACGCGCCATAATATAGGACTCTTCTCAGAGATTTTCAAACCACCTGCGGTTATAAAAGCCATTCTCAGATGGCAGGTGGGATTTGGACACTGGGCAGCAGGCTGGTGACGGTCACACTGTGGCGTCCTGGGAGGCACATGGTCTGCTGAACCCCGTTTTTCGGAGGCGCAGAGTGACCACATAACGTGTCCCCACTCCCAGGACGACGCTCCCACCCCACCTGCTGGAGATCAGAGGGAACACACACGGGTACCTGCACAGACGCAGCTGACAAGGCAGGTTCCTGTCCTCTGCACCCAAAACACGGAGAATCCACACGCATTTCCACGTTCAGGGAGCTTTTTCAGAAAGAAAAGCTTCCGTCCGCTGGAAAAAAAAAAAAAAAGCAGAAATGATACAGACACCACCCTGGTCACACACGGCAACAGAATGGGAGACTGGTCACCGAATCCAGGAAGGCTGAGAACACAGAAATATCACGGGGACATTAAAAAACAAAACACTTCAAAAACCCTTGAGTTGACAAAAAAAAAAAAAAAAAAAAAACAAAAACAAAAAAAAAAAACGGGAAATGGTGACTCTCTGGAAAATACAAATAATGAGAAGATTCCGAGTCCACAGTTGAGCCCGGAGGAAATGATAGATCTGGGTTATTTACAATATTCAATAAGAAAGGACGGGGAATCAGGGAAATTAAGAGTTCGACTCAAGGGGTGTCCGTGTGCAAGAACCTAGAAACCCAGAGAAAGCCAATGACAAGGGCCATGAATTAAAAACACAGAAATGGCAAAGATAATCATCATCCAACCATTATTTCAGAACCGAAACAGGTGACACAGAGAGGATACAAAATCATGGGATGTAGAGTTCCCCACAGACCTGGAGAATGTTGAACAAATTATAAGGAAATTCTTTGCTCAAATCTGTATGGAGGCATGTTTTCTTTTTAATGTCTATTTATTTTTGAGAGAGGCTCCAGCCCCAGGTCGGGCTCTGTGCCGACAGCTCACAGCCTGAAGCCTGCTTGGGATTCTTTGTCTCCCTCTCTCTCTGCCCCTCCTCCACTCATGTTCTATGTCTCTCTCAAAAATAAACATTAGAAAAAAAAATTTTAGGTTTTTAAAAAGCTTCACAACAAAAACGGCACTATCTTTAATATGTAAAGAGTTCCCACGAATCAATAACAGCAGGGCCAATAATGCATATAAAAACGGGCAACGGGCATCTCAAACGGGTCCCCCAGAAATGGCCGTATAAGTGATTTTTCCATACACACATTCCCAATCTCACCTGTGTTAAGAGAACTGCAAGGTAAAACCGTTGATTTCATACCGTGTTTTCAACTAACAGTGGCAAGGACCCATAAAGCCAGGAGGGTTTTTGGAAGATATCTGAGACATCACTGAGAATATCATGGATTGGCACAGCCTATATGGAGGACAATCAGGCAACTCTCATCAACAATTTCACACACACAGCCTTCTAGCAACGCCAACCACAGACATTTCTTTTTATGTCCGTGCAACCTTGACGTGAACCTATAATGTATTTCTTTTTTTTTTTTTTCAACGTTTATTTATTTTTGGGACAGAGAGAGACAGAGCATGAACGGGGGAGAGGCAGAGAGAGAGGGAGACACAGAATTGGAAACAGGCTCCAGGCTCTGAGCCATCAGCCCAGAGCCCGACGTGGGGCTCGAACTCACGGACCGCGAGATCGTGACCTGGCTGAAGTCGGACGCTTAACCGACTGCGCCACCCAGGCGCCCCAGACGTGAACCTATAATGAAACGCACCTGGTGTGAACCTGAATCTGGAAAGATGTGGACCCACCTTCCAGGAAAAAACAAGCCTCGTGGACATCTCTCTTACATGTATACATTTATTTATGAATGAGTCACCCACAGCTCCCCTCTACTCTCCTGTAAGGAGACATTTATGCTTATAGTAGGACTGCAATGCTTGTAAAAACATCAATGTTATTCACAGAGTCACAAAACGATTTTATGCACTTTTTTCTTACTGTAAAGTGAGTCTATGCGCACAGTCTGATGCTGAAGGCTCGTTCGGGAAGAATGTGGATACCTGTGTGCTGCGTTTGTAAACCTAGGTGTTGTGTGTTAGCCCTGGGACCCAGCCGTGTTGGATAACCCAGCCCTCAGCCCCCTGACAGCTGGTCTACCCCAACACTTGAGATGTGTGTGTTAGGTCCTCTGGACTCCACACGGCCATGTTCACTTCCGCACATACCTGAGCCACGGAAAAACAGAACATCAGAACTTCTGCACCGGATGTGATTAATCTCGATGAAGCCTTCCCAAGAGTATAGACAAGCATGCAAG